GGGGTGGGGTGGGGAGGGGAGAGGTCCTGCCACGGGGTCCCCCACGGAAGGAGAACGTGAACCCGCCTGCCTCGGCAGGGAAGCCAAGGAGGTCGACCAGATGGCCGGACCCAGCTGCACCCTGGGGAAGCTGGAGGTCAGTTCCTCCTGGGGGGCGGGGGAAGGGCCGACTGTTTGCAACACGCTCTCGGGCTGCAGCCACCCAGGGGCTGTGACCCTGAACGTGAAAACCAGAGGCCCTGCGCAGACAGGCCAGGACCCCCACGCCCAGGCCCGGGCCCCACGTATGGCCCAGAAACTTATCTGTGGCTTCAGCGTCCCAGTTGGACGCAGGGCCCCAGATCTCTTTGCTTGGCCCCTGACTGGCCCCTCTGGCTCCTGATTCTTGGGGTGACACAGACACCGGGCTCCTCCCCCCCAGGCCCGAGAACCAGCCGCAGACACCTGCACTGGGCCCACAGGTGCAGAGCCCATGGGCCTGTCCACTGTCCCCCTGTCCACGTTGCGTGGGTGGGTCCACACTCCAGCCTGGTGTCCCCCCAGGAGACACAGATGGGCCAGGAGGCCGGCCCCGGGGTAGGCAGGCGGGGCGGTGGTGTGAGCGTTCACAGAGAGGCGGCAGTGCTCAGCCCGGCGGGCGTGGGGGCCGGGGCAGGGGGTGCGGACGCTCGGGGGTGCCAGCCCAGCTTCGATTAGCGAACTCCAGAACGAGGTCAGACAGGCACAAAAATCAAGTCACAAGCTCCAAAGCTCGAGAGGGGTGGTCAGAGGCACGCGCAGGAGGGAGGATTAATGACACCGGGGAGGGCACAGACGGGGCGGGGAGGCCTGCAGACCTGGCGAGGTGAGCGCGTGGTCGCTCCGTCCGTCAGCAGCGGTTATGGGCATAGCAGCGGGCAGGCTGGCACTGGCATTCAGAGGGTTAAAAGCATTGGCGCTGAGCGGCGGGGGCTCTTCCCAATGGTCATATTTACCCATGAGTGCCTTTCTAATAATGGCCTCCAGCCCCATGTTGGTGCTGGCATGCTCCTGCACCGCCTGGCTCCTACAGGTCATGAGGCCTGGGAGAGAGACACACACAGGGGGACGGGAGGCGGGAGCCGGGCCACGGAGAGAGAGGAGGGAGAGACACGGAGGAGGAGGAGAGAGAAATACACAGTGAGCACATTTCGGCAAAGCAACACGTTCCCTCCCCGGCCCCTCCCGCCTCAGGCGCCCGCTGGCTGGGGAGGGGGGCGGCTGCGTCCTTCTGACGCGGGACCCAGAAACTCCCAGGAGCTGCCAGGGAGGTGGGCTCGGGGAGGTGTGACGTCCCCGGCCTCGTTCCTACTCTGTTCTCTGGGACAGCAGAAGTCCCCTCGGCAATCCCGATCCCAGCCAGGGACATTTGTGTTTTTTTTTTTAAATTCCAAGTGGCCGTAATGAAAGGGACAGGGGTGGGGAGCACCTGTTTGGGGAAGGGGCTGCTGGGAAACTGGGACAAGCCAGAGCTAGGGGCTGGCAGGGGCCTGGGGAGGGGACCCAGAGAGGGACGGTGACCTCCAGGCCTGGGTCACGCAGCCCACGGCCTGCCCCACGCGGGGCCCGCCCAGGAGCCAGGAGGAGAAAGAGGAGCAGAGACGGACGGTGAGGTGAGGGTCGTAGCCATGCAGTTACGTGCGTGCAGGGGACAGGGTGGAGGCAGAGACAATCACGTGACCCCCTGGCCCGGCCCCGCCACCAGGACAAAGTGGTCTACCCAACTGGCCCTGAGCAGACGCTTCCAGACTCCCACCGTGCCATCCCGGAAGCCTCTCGCTCTGTTTACCCGATGCTCTCCCCCGTCCCCCCTCCAACCGCAGCCCAGCCGGGAGCTCCTGCAAACCCAGCCCTCCGGCGCATCTTTCCGTAAAACTGGTCAAACCAGACTTTGCTGTCAAAGCTCCCAGTGAATTCGCGTCCCATCCCCCGCCTGGCAAGACTTCCACGCATCTCAAAGCTTCCGCTCTGAGTGGGCGCAGGGACACAAAGCGGTCACGTCGTGAGTCCCCCGAACACAAAACTAAACCGACACAGCCCTGGGAGTGACGCAGCCACTCTGAAAACCACGTTTCTGTGGCAACTGCCGCCGCCGCCACCTTGCTGTTCTTTCATCCCTTTTGGTTTCAAACGCCTTCAAGGCCAGGACGAGCGCTGCACCTGCCCCGCGGCACCCGCCCCGCGGCGTCTCGGCTACGTGCCATCACCGCTTACGAAGTCCCAGCCGCGTTCATCAAGCAAGAGCGAGATTCCCGGCAGGGCTGGGTGCCCAGCTCACAGCAACACTCGGAGCCCTTCCCAAGGTCCTGAGGCTGCGACCCGGGGGAGCTGGCCCAGACGTGCCACCTCCACGTACGAAGGCAAAGCCTGACACGGGCTACACAGCAAAGACCGGGGCCTGGAAATTTGTTTTTTTTTTTTTTTGTGGACTACACTGCTTTAAAAAAAAGAAAAAAATCAAACGTGACTCACATATAAGCGTCAACACAAATCGTCACGGCACCACTCCATGCCTTTCTACATACACAGACACGTGTGTGCCTAGCCCCTGTGTCAAGATTTGGATCATTCAGGAAACGCTCATTTCTAACCATCTCGTTATGACCAAGTGGCGGCCTTCCCGTTGCTGGAGGCTCCGAGAAGCCCCCAGTGTCTAGTCTCTGGGCAGAAAGGGGCTCCCTCGCCGGGACCACCACGTGGGGGCCCTCATTCCTTGGCAGTACCCAAGTGACCGTCCTCTGCCCTCCACAGGCC